AACCCATGGACGGGTACGCGTGGGGCGTGAGTTGAAAAATACTGATGTGAAATAACTGTTTCTGTGTGAAGCAGGAACAGGTCCATTCTGTTGCTGTGTGTTTTTTTTCTCTAGCCCTGCAGAGAAGGACTGGGAGGTATTGGTAGATGAAAAATTGGACATGAGCTGGCAACGTGCGCTGGCAGCCCCGAACGCCAACCGTGCCCTGGGCTGCATCTGACCAACAGGGCGAGGGTGGAAGGGGATTCTGCCCCTCTGCTCCGCTCTGGTGAGACCCCCCTGCAGTACTGCCTTCAGCTCTGGGGTCCTCAGCACAAGAGGGACATGGACGTGTTGGAGCGAGTCCAGAGGAGGCCATGAAGATGATCCGAGGGCTGGAGCACCTCTCCTGTGAGGACAGGCTGAGAGAGTTGGGGTTGTTCAGCCTGGAGAAGAGAAGGCTCCAGGAAGACTTTATTGCAGCCCTTCTATAGTTAAATACTATAAGAAAGACGGAGACAGACTTTTTACCGGGGCCTGTAGTGATAGGACAAGGGGCAATGTCTTTGAACTGGAAGAGGGAAGACTTAGAGTAAATATAAGGAAGAGATTCTTCCCGGTGAGGGTGTTGAGGCAGTGGCAGAGGTTGCCCAGAGAAGCTGTGGCTGCCCCATCCCTGGAAGTGTTCAAGGCCAGGTTGGATGGGGCTGTGAGCAACCTGGTCTGGTGGGAGGTGTCCCTGCCCAGGGCAGGGGGGTTGGACTAGATGACCTCTTCCATCCCAAACCGTTCTGTGATTCTGTAGTTGTAATAACTAACAAAACACTACAGAACAACACGTTACGTAAATGAAGTTATGTTCTGTGAATAGTACATGTCTGAATTTAACTGTGTTAAATACAACATGAGTGAGCTGAGAGGTCGATATGATGGATTTATGTCTGGAATTCAAAACTGGCAATTCAGGCTTGGTTGCATTTGTGTTGCTGGCATTAGGCGATGTCAGTTGGCATCAGCAGCATGTTCGGCTTTTGCTAGTAATTGAGGAGTAATTTTCAGTCTTTTTTTTAAGCATTCCCTTGCGTTATGGAGAACTGTAGCCTGCTGCAGCTGGGAATGTCCGTCCTCTCAGGAAGGTGGTGATGTGGATCCCCTCCTGCAGGACTAAGGTGACTGTAGGTTACTGGTGAGGTTCAGGCTGTTATGGGAACTGCTGATGAAACACTGTGCCCATGAGTTCGTGGATCCGTTAGGGTGTCCTGCGTACTGCTGCACTGGAGAACTTAGTACTGCCTGTAAATACCAGAACTGGAGTTTAAGTTGCATGATATGGGATCTGTGTAAGTAAAAGCATCTTAATAAATGAGTGCATTTACTTTTGGGAGTAAAGGTTGTCATTTTTACTTAGAAATGAAAGCATCATCATGCTTGTAACTCCTCATGTGTTGGCTTCACAAACTTGCTCAGACATGCCCAGAGTCAGTTTGAGTTGGCCAGCCCAGATCTAGCAGGCAAGCTGCGATGCTAGAGGGCTTATTCCTGGCTCATTGTCAGGATACTTAACTCAGCTTCTCAGGCAGGCTTTTACTGCTGCCTGGCGCTCTGGGATACTCTGGGGGTTGAAATGCTGGTGCAGACTCAAAGCTAAGGCAAGTATGTCTGTGACCTACCGTTACTTGATTTTTGCCTTAACTTTCCTGAGAATTTGGCAGCTAAACCCTTTGTGAATTAACTTTTTTTATTTTCACATAGTGATACACAAGCATGTCCTCTACCTGGAAAAACAAAGTAAATGTCTTCCAACTTTAAATGTCGGTGCTTACATGAAAGAATTCTTTTTATTTTACATAAACCACAAAGTTTCTCAGCTTGGCAGAAATGAAAGCAGAATCTTTTAATTTTAGTTTTTGGTGTAATTGCGTAGTATCAACAGAAAGGCCTAACAATGTTCCCTCTCTACTGTAAACCTAGTTTTGCTATACCTGGCCATTGAAGATAAAGGATGGAGACCCTGACAGAGGCTGACATGTGGGCTGCTGCCACTGTGTGGAGAGCATCACTGGATGCCTGGCACTGCCACATAATTTCGCATAAAATTGTTCCTAGGGCCTGAGACCTCAAGCAGGTGCCTGTACTTCATGTTCCTAAAACCTCTTCCACCTGCAGGGGAGTCTGCTCTTGGATTTTCTTTTTCCTTGGAAGCTGCCATAACCCTCCTGCCAGTTGAATCATCCTCACCCACCGACGGTGGTTACATATTCCTTCTTCCCTCACAGCAATCTACTCTTTCACTTGGCCTTGCTCTTTCCAAAAATTTTCTGTCCACTGTATTCTTGCGTAGCCCTTAGCGCATGCTGTTGTACCAGTGTCAGTGTTCCCTCGCTGCGGTAGCTGCCTTCTCAGTCGATCCTGCTAAAGCTTTAGTCTGGTAAGCGTACAGCTATGTGGACACTGCGTTTAGGATGTGTAAGCCAGCGTGAAAGGAAAGCTTACCTTAACACATGCCACACCAACCACTGCGTTTTACTGGTTGGGTTCCGCACTTGAAATGCCATACGTCCTCCTCCGCTGTGCTCTGCCTGGAAAGTCGTTGGGAAGTCTTCATTGTGCTTTTTCCCCCCCAGTGTTAATGCATTTCAAGGAAGTGTTAGAGGGTACAAGTTTCTGATCCTGTCCCCTCTCTCCACCCCCCTCTGCATGTTGCCATTAAATCTCTTAAAGCTGAGTTAATTTTTTTAATGATTTGCGGCTCTTGCTACAGAGGACCAGTCTACCACAGGTTCTTTGTGTGGGTGCCTTCCTGCATTTGTCAAGGTCTGTTGTGTGGCCATTGGGTTTCATTGCACGTTTTTTATTATAAGCTCAGGTGTGAGATTTGAGCTTCTGTGAGGAACGGGTCCCAGTAGAGCCCTTTGGAGTTTGCTGAGGTTTGAGAGAGGACTGGAGGCCTGTGGGCTTTCCTTTTACTGCTGCTTGCAGCAATTAGTGAGGAGCATCTGAAAGCAGAGCTATTCCCAGCATACTCTGATATCCCACTGGATAAGGCAAAAGGAGCCGCTCTGGGCCCGTGAGCTCTTGAGGTTGTGTTACTGGTTGACTGTTTTGGTTCTTTCTCCTCTTGAACAGGAACATGCCCAAGAAAGGAGGGAAGCACGCTGAAATGGGAAAAGAAACGCAGACACAATGTAAACGAGCAAAGGTGGAAGCAGCTTGTTCTCCATCAGTCCTGAGTTTTGAGAACCCAGACAGCCTCTTTGGAAGCTTGATCTCTCCCATCAAACCAGAGTTGTTTTTCAGGGAGTATTGGGAGCAAAAGCCGCTGCTTGTTCAAAGAAATGACCCCCGGCTGGCTGCTTACTACCAGTCCCTGTTCCAGTTGTCAGATTTGAAGGAACTGTGCAGCCGGGGTCTATTCTATGGGCGAGATTTAAATATCTGCAGATGTGTTAATGGAAAAAAGAAAGTTTTAAATAAAGAAGGCAAAGTGAACTACATGCAGCTAAAGAAGGATTTTGACCAGAAAAAGGCAACAATACAGTTTCATCAGCCTCAGAGATTTAAGGTTGGATGATTTCATTGAATATAATTAATACATGATTTATAACGTATACTTTGCTTGAGTCGTGCTAGACATAGCTTCATCTCTGTCCCCAGTAAATCCAGAGGAAGCAGCTGACATCGATGACCTGCTGAAATCTGTACATGAACTGTATTAACACATAGTTTATACTTTTGCACTGCCCATCACGTTTCAGTGCTCTGCAGCAAAGACAAAATCTGATTCATGCTATAATATTAAGTATTCTTTTTAAAAAATGTGCTTTGACAGGTAAAAGTTTAAAAAAAAATGCACAAAATTGATGATTATGCATCTGTGTCTGCTTAAATTATCGCTTCTGCCCCACTGTTCCCTTGTGCAACTAGAGGCTTTTTTACCGTTTTCCTTTCATGGAGGGCGAGGTGTGAAACCATGTAAAATATTTCCAGGACACTCCACCGTTCTTGCCAATGGATTGGCTTTGAATCACACCGTGGAAGTGTACCACTGCATTTTAGCCAGATGTTCTCTCTCTCTTACTCTTTTTGATGCCTTTGCAATCTTCATGGATGAGAATGAGGCAGTGGTGTCTACACATTTTTGTAAAGGACTGGGATACTTGTAGGTACTTGGATTTAGGTAGTCTGGCCTTTTTTTTTTTTTTTTTTTTTAATTCTGTAGTGTCAACACAATTTAATTGTGAAGTGGTGCATAAGGACCCAAACACCTGGCCGAGTCTCAAGTGTGGTGTCGCTTGCTGATCTTTGTTCAAGTGTAGCTGTCACGGCCGGTGGCAGGGACTGGGATGTTGCACGGCTTATGCTGAAATCTAGAGCTTGAGCTGAACCTACATAAATTCTGGTTGAAGTTGCACTTGTGCAGGTCTGGTAGTTGGCATCTTCTGATACGAAAGTCATTCCTTCGGTGCATTGTCTGTCCCGTTGGATGTGGATGAGTAAAGTTTGTTCTCGAATATTTCTGAACAACTGGGAGTTGCTGGAAGAAGGTCCTCCCAAGCGATGAGGAGGTTGAGGACTGGGAGGCAGCCAGGTTGGCTGAGCTCTTCAGTAGTAACAGCATCGTTTTTTTTTTAAAGGAGGAGCTGTGGAAGATTCAGGAGAAGCTGGAGTGCTACTTTGGATCTCTGGTTGGGTCGAATGTTTACATTACTCCCCAAGGGTCGCAGGGCCTTCCCCCTCACTACGATGATGTTGAGGTAGGACAGCGCAATCTTGTCTGTGCAACTCCGTGTGTGGGCTTTCGCTAGTGGCAGTGGATACCTGGATGTGCGCTCCCACCACCCCC